CATATATACATATATATATACACTTGAGCCGTATACTCTCTCTCTGCTGCAGAGCACTTTTGTGTGCCAAGCGCGCGACCTGTCCGCAGAAGCTGCATCTCTTACACTGAGTCACAATCTGCCAGCCCCTAATCCTTTGACCCTGTGCCTAAATGGGGCCTATAAAGGGGTTATACGGAGCTATATAGGGGTATGTGGGAACTCTATAGGGATATATTGAGCTACTGTCAATATTTGCTACATAATTTAGTGGAGGTGGGTTCCTACCTCAGGGACTGCACTAAACTACAAGAGGGGCCCCTGGGTCCACCCGTAGTGGTCCCTTGATACAGCTAATATTGATAATCGCGCATATGGGGCTTAGGGTTTAGGCCTCGCTAAACTAGGAACACCTTTTTGGAAGTCTGCGTCATTATAGTCGGGATAGTAACATATTGGGCTCTGTAGTGGGGCTCTTTGATCCGTCAAATCCCGAAATCCTCACTCTTTTATGGCTGTGCTGACTGTCGCTAACCTATGTCTGCCAAGCAGCCAGGCTGGCAGCACGTCCCAGCTACTTCATCTCAGGAACCGGTACTTGGGGGCATCGCTGTTCTGAGAGCTGGGTATCCATCGGGTGTTTTGAACATGAGCAAGGGATTTCCTTTTGTATAAGGAAATGTATGTATGAAAGACCTCTTAATGTTGACATGGATCCTTTAGTTGGGAGGCATGGAATACAGTCTACGTCTATGATGCAAGTCATCCTCTGCAGTTTTCATATACCTTCCGTTGCCATGATTGTTTAAAATGACTTTCCAAAAGCTGTGAGTCGGACAGGCGGGCACCATTCAGCCAGTTTTGTGCAAGCAAGAACTAGATGCGCGTGGCTCCATGCCAAATTGGGACCCCACAAAGGTGTAACAAAAGACTACTCAGCACTTTTCCAAAGCCAGGCGACGCCGGCGCTGCCTCTCCAGAAGCACAGGCTCCACCTGGTCCAGCTCCTCCTCCGTGAGCTGCTGCAGCATCTCAACGGTGATGCGCACCATGGCTACAGACACAGGCGGAGGCTGACGGCAATCAATTGAGCTTATAGGGTTTGGACCTGACCAGAGGCTCAGAGCTCGGGATCTGGGACTCATGGGGGAGGGTTTTGATGAGTCGGGCCTAAGCCGGCTTAAGACTGGGGAGCTCATGGTGCATGGATTTATCTTTAGACTCTGGGGCTCAGTTTGCAGGAGGCGCTCGTCCTACAATTGGCCGGAAGTCTGGATGAGCTGTAGGCTTTCAAGGACTGCGGGGCTTTGGACAGGCCACAATGTCAAGGAGGTTTCGTAATCATGGCTTAAACCAGAATTTAGCTTGCAGCTCTCTCTCTTCGAAGGATTTAGCGAAAACTGGTCTAAATCAGGGCGAACCGCCCCCCCCCCGCCATTTTTGGAACCCTAAACCCCTAAACCCTAAAGCTACCATGTCAGCCCAGGCTTGCATTCTGAAACCGGAGCCTTGAGCTTTGAGGCCTCATCTTACACTGTGGGTAGTTCCCAAAGTTCGGGTCCCATTCTGGTACGGTTGAAGGTTTTGGGATGTTTCAAATCCCAGCCGAACTCGACCTTTACTTACCAGAATCCAGCCATGGTATCTCAGAGCCCCCGGAAATGCCTACAAACGTGTAACAAAAGACTACTCAGCACTTTTCCCAAAAATCTTATAGTAATGCCGCCTGCTCCCAGGCCTTTCGGGCCTGCTTTGCCAGGCGGCGCCGGCGCTGCCTCTCCAGAAGCACAGGCTCCACCTGGTCCAGCTCCTCCTCCGTGAGCTGCTGCAGCATCTCAACGGTGATGCGCACCATGGCTACAGACACAGGCGGAGGCTGACGGCAATCAATTGAGCTTATAGGGTTTGGACCTGACCAGAGGCTCAGAGCTCGGGATCTGGGACTCATGGGGGAGGGTTTTGATGAGTCGGGCCTAAGCCGGCTTAAGACTGGGGAGCTCATGGTGCATGGATTTATCTTTAGACTCTGGGGCTCAGTTTGCAGGAGGCGCTCGTCCTACAATTGGCCGGAAGTCTGGATGAGCTGTAGGCTTTCAAGGACTTGCAGCTCTCTCTCTTCGAAGGATTTAGCGAAAACTGGTCTAAATCAGGGCGAACCGCCCCCCCCCCCGCCATTTTTGGAACCCTAAACCCTAAACCCCTAAACCCTAAAGCTACCATGTCAGCCCAGGCTTGCATTCTGAAATCGGAGCCTTGAACTTTGAGGCCTCATCTTACACTGTGGGTAGTCCCATTTTGGTAGGGTTTAGGGATAAGGGTAGTTCCCAAAATTCGGGACCCACCCTGCTACCCCTGAATGTTAGGCTCCGAAATTAATCTGTAACCAGAAGAGGCCCATAATTTTGAGAATAACACATGTTGTTCAGGGAGGTGGGTCCAAGGGGGGTAGGCCTTAGGGAATCTCGGGGAGTACTAGAAAGCACTAGGGAATGAAAAGATTACCGATGCAAGTTGAACCAACCTGCTATTATCAACATTCTCATCATCCTTACACAGCCTCGGGGCAGGGACCGTCGGACCCCATATCTAACCCTAAAACCCTAAACCCCAAAATCTATCTTAACTAACCCTACATGTCCCTACAGAATCCCCTACAGAATCCCCTATAGAGTCCCCTATAGAACCCCTACCCTAATCTCTAAACCCTAAACCCTAAACCCTAAAACCCTAAACCCTAAAACCCTAATCCCTTTGGGCGTTTTTTTTTGGCAGGGCTTCCTGTCGAAGCCCGAACAGCAGACGTAGAAAGAGCTCTGGAGCGCCTTAGTCTGCAGCTGAGTTTAGGGATTTAGAGTTTAGGGATCATGGGGTTATATAGGGTATATATAGGGATAATGGAAAAGAAAATGGAAACTATTGGGGTTATATTGGCGTTCTATTAAGTAGTGTTTTTTTTGGTGGTTGAACCTAGTAAGATTATAGGGATTAGGGTTTAGGGTTTAGGGATTAGGGCTTTGGTGGTTGAACCTAGTAATATAGGGATAATGGAAAAGATTTTGGGCATCTAAGCTTTTGTTGCTAGGGTATATCTTGTGGTTGTATAGGGATAATGGAAAAGAAAATGGAAGCTACTGTAGTATAATAAGGTATATATTGGGGTTATATTGGGGTTATGCAGCTGGGCTTACTGGAATGTATGGCTGAGGGTTTAGGGTTTAGGGTTTAGGGATTAGGGTTGAGGGTTTAGGGTTTAGGGTTTAGGGTTGAGGGTTTAGGGTTTAGGGTTATGGGTTCAATTTATACCCCCCCTCTATACTATCCCCCCTAGGTTCCCCCCCTTAATTAAGGTTAGTTAAGGATATTTAGGCTTAATTAAGGGGGGAACCTAGGGGGGGTAGTATAGAGGGGGGTACTAGTTGAACCCATGAGGAATGTATGGCTGAGGGTTTAGGATTTAGTGACTAGGGTTTAGGGTTTAGGGATTATTCAGTGATAGATGTCAGTCTGGGGTCTGTTTACCCTATACAACGATTAAACCGGGCATCTAGGACAGTAATGTTGGTAATTACTTTGGCCTCTACAGGTAGTCACGGGCGATGTAAGGGAGGCGGGTGTAAGGGCTTTATTGCCCCAACTAAGGACTAACTAAGGACCAAATAAGGCCTAAACAAGGGTATATATTCGCTTACATCCCCCCTTACACCCCTCAAGCTCCCCATGACGTAGGAGACCAAAAACCCTAAACCCTAAACCTCATACAAACTCTATCCGTATCATCTTGGAGCGTATTTGAGACTCATGCTGTAATCACACAAAAAATATAGAAAATATAGGACAATGATGTTGGCAGTTCTGGAGGCGCCTACCATAAAGGGATTCCTAGGAATGCATAGAGATTACATAGGGATGTATTGAGATTATATGGAATACATAAGATCATCATCTTACTCTTGGTTATATGAGGGAACAGTGGAGAATCAAATGGAAACTAGTAAGAACCATGGATTGTATGAGTTCTCATTGGAATATTTGCGGGAGACAAATTAATTAGGAATATGTACAGGGAAAACACAATGGAGGATTTCATGGTGGTTATTTGGGGATATAGAAGGACAGTAGGAGCCTCAGTGATTAGAATACTGAAAAATGAATGGAAAACACATGAACAATTGAAACTGGGATTATGCAGGGTATACGGGATGTTGGCTCCTTCATCTTACAAAGCTTGTGGGTTTGGTAGGGAATCCCCTGTTTCCATTTCACGTTCCATTTTCTTTCCCCTTGGATTTTACATTCCCTACACTCTAAACCCTAGAATAGCTTCCATCTTCATGTCCATAATGGGGTCCCTTTTAGGGAGTTCAAATCAGTCTCTTATTGGCAAGGAATGGAGAATCAATAGAAATTCAAATGCATAACGGCATTGAACATCAAGTGGAAACCGCTCTTATATGTGGGCCAGAGCTTGCAATTTGGTTCAGCGGTAGTTAGTTGGTTGATGGAGAATGAAATGGGAAAGGGAAGGTTTCAGGATTGAATGTATATAGAGTTGGGCATTCGGGTCAGTTTCTTACTGCTTGTTGGTAAGGAATGCAGACATGGACAAGAAGGAACGTGCTATGGAATTCCGGGTTTAAGGCTAAGGGTCAGGGTGTGGGGGGTTAGTTGGGAATGGAGGAATGGATCATTGATACGTACAGTAGCATCGACACTGTACAGCCCTCGACAGTAACCCTCAATAATGACCCTCTTATGTTGACTTGCATCTTCCAGTCCTTCATTCCGTGCTAACCACTTGTAAGTGGGCTTGTGAAAGCAGCAAGTCCTTGTGAGTTCTTTGCGTACTGTGGGCCCACAGTCTGTGCTACGCGGACTACTATCGCCTAGTCCTTGGAGCGCGGCATTGAAGTAATCAGACTTCACATCTTTGACCTCCGCCCGGCTTCGAGGTAGTGGGACTTGGATTGTTCAGCTTTTATAGCCTCAAGGCCGACTTTCAATTAAGAGCTTCGGGTTTGGCTTAAGGGTAAGGCGCCCATGATTTAGGGGTTGGGGCCCCAAGTGCCCACCTCCACCACGAGGATCCCAATTGCTCACACCCACCCCGCAAGACAAGAAGTCTGGAAAAGACATCTGGCTAGCTTTCGCGGGTTAGGGTCTGGCTGCTGAGGGAGGACGACGGTTGCAGGGCATCGCGTACCAAAATTTGCCGGAATCGGTCTTGCAATTTGTTGATTTTCGACTTAGGCTATGCATTGCCCGCAGGCGCAGCCAGTGAATGTCATGCCTGGCTTTGATGCCTGTGTGGCCCCGCCGCCCCCAGCCCGGTGGCCAATAACTTCGGCACTCTCATGCCACAGCATGGCGTAAGCTTTTGTTGCTAGGGTATATCTTGTGGTTGTATAGGGATAATGGAAAAGAAAATGGAAGCTACTATAGTATAATTTGACTAAGCGCGCTCCAACAGCAAAGCAACGGGCATTATTGAAGCAGAACTGACATAGCTGCCCAAGCGACTTCAGTAGCATGCCTGGGAGAACCGACACGAAAGAAGTTGCAAGAAAAACTCACTAAAAAGTCATGTAAGTCATGCCCGCATCTCCCGCGACCGCTTGTTATCAGCTGTGCACGCCATATACTAGGATATGAGCAATTCTCAAACATGGGGGGGGGGTCCGTTTTGCAAACCCGCGAATAGCTACGACATAACTCGTGGGCTAAGAGACCTCGAGATTTCAGAAACCACCAATCCATGGGCGATTGGGTGAGTTCAAAAGTAATCGCGCGAAATGCGCTAAAGAGTGCAGCATATTGCCATATTCATGGTTGATCCTAAAACTGGGTTGCTGCTAAGGACCATAAACTATGTTACTAGAATGAGGAACCCGTTATTTGTCCCCCATAGTATTTAAACTCAATTTAAGTTCCTTAACAGCAACCCAGCAGAGGGGAGTCCACATGCTGCGCACCTGTTTAAAGAGGTCGTGAAGCAAGGCGAAGAGCCGCAACGTGCACCTTGGCCAGCGCAAGGGCTTCCTGCCCTAACATCCATGCCCTAAACCCTAATTCTGACTGGTGGATAGTAGGGAGTAAGGGAATAGATTACATAGGGATTGATTATGATCCCTTATTCCCTACTAACCAGCGGTCAGAATATTGATAGCAACATTGATAAGAGGGTTCATCGGAGTTGAGTTGACATCAGGGAGGTGCCTGGCTGGCATGGAACAGCATGCTTTACCAGGTACTAGGGAACCTTGGCAAGCCTTGAGGGGTCTTGGCCCTTCAGGACCACGTACATTTCAATGGACAGCCTAGGCCTGAGGCCGCTGCTTTTTGTACCACACTGTGGCCAGATCCTGCGTAGCTTCCAGGGGCTTCATCCGGGCGTAGCTTAGCAAAAGTTGAAGGTCCAGGCTGTAATGCTTAGAAATGTGGGATCACAACCAAGCCTCATCTTGTACCTTGAGGCCGCGCAAGCTGAATCAATGCTAAATCCCTTTGATCTTGTCAGAGCTAGCTGCAAGTCTTGGGAGCTGAGGTCCCAATCGGGTTGAAGCTGCGGTTTACTTGGTTGCTCCTTGTGACCTGGTGAACGCAAGGAGCGTGCTGAATCTAAACGCCAATCGGTATGAACTGCTCAGGGCCTCTGATTGAGAGTTGGCACAAATCTTTCAGGTTCCTGATGTGAGATAGCTTCCCTAAATCAGTACGGACCAGCAGAAAGAGAATGGAGACGTTCAACTCTACGCATCTTATATCGTAAGCTTCAAATCCGAGGATGCCATACTGGGTTGCTGTTGAGGTACATAATTAAGTTACTATTATGAGGAACCGTTATGATAACTTCATTTAAGTTCCTTAACAGCCACCCAGCATGGTCTGAAGGCAAGGTCAGGCTCTTGTCCCAAGTTTCCTCCGGAGGTCCATCTCGCCAGCCGAAGCGGAAAATCAGCATGCCGCCCGCCAAAAGCCTAGGACTGCGTTTCCCCTCTAAGTTACCCTTATAAGACTCATTCTTAGGTTTAATGAAACCCTGATGAAAGGGGACCTCCAGCATAGTCCTCCAGAACAGGCGAATCTAAATGATTAAATGATTTGACACTTGTTCAAGAGTTGGCCTACAAATGAAATCTGGAAGATCCATGAGTGGCAGGGTTCAAGCGCCAACGCCTCCGCTAGCGCCAGCGCCAGCGGCACGCCAGCTGCACCCGCCATCCGCCACCCGCCGTCTCGAACCCCCACCTGCCACGCGCCACCCGCCACGCGCCACCCGCCACACGCCACCCGCCACACGCCACCTGCCACCCGCCAGTGCCAACGCTGCTGCCGCCAGCTCCGGTACTACTGCGCTATGTTGCTATGATATGTTGGTGCAAAAGCCTAGCACCAAACCCATGAGGCCAGTACCGGGTCAGTCCGAGCCAGAACTGCTTCACCAGCAGTGCCCAGACGCCATGCTGCTTACCTTACAAATCACTACCAACTTTAGGAGAGGATGGTTGAAGAAAGCATTGCAACTCTGAGAAGCTTTTGGCAGTGACCACGTAAAAATGCAGCGATGGCATGATGCTTCAAGGTCAAGGTTGGGGTCCCCAAGGCCCAACCCTCAAGGCTGTCGTAAGGGCATGTCGCGAAAGCCATGCTGCAGCCTAAGCGCTGAAGGTGAACGGTACCAAGTGCTGCAATCTAGTTAACCAGCAAAGCTTCCTGCTACGGTGCTTCTTACACACAGGAGTTTTCGATGCCTCTTCTGTGCCAGATGCCTATACCATGGGGTGCACCATCACGAGGAGAGGCAAGCGAGATAATGTGCCGAATCTAACCTCGTGAAACTAAAGCTGGGTGTGGGCTGTTGCCGAGCTGCTTCGGCAACGGACCCCTGTGTACCTGGCACCAGGAGGGCATGGTGTCCTCTGGGGAAGGCTTCCTTTACCAGCACATTCTACCGTTGGTATTCCAATTGGCTTGACGGCTCATGGAGACTGTCGTGCAGGAGGCCGGGACAAAGACTTACACAAAACAAGTCAATCATTCTGGAGTTTTCTGCAACGCAGCAGTGGCCCCAATTAATTGTAGAAGGACGCCGAGCAGAATAGCAGTGGAATGCTCGCCTCACTGATAAAATCCACCGCTGGCCTCTCATCCCAGGCGACCTCGTTGCGCATGTACTGGGCATCACCTGGGGGGCTCCAAGCTATGGAGCAGTCGAGGAAGCAGCGTTGCTCCCTCCAGGTGAAAGGGCTGAAGGCTGAGGCTTTGTGGATAAGTACTTACCTGCCATCGGGCTTGAACAGGATTCCTTGTCATGAAAATCCATGACCTGTACCGATGGAGCAGCTACACATAGCTACACTCCTTAATTTCAAGCAGGCTGGCTGCAGACCAGTGAAAAAACGAAACTTGTCTCGAAGCCCAAACCTGCTTTTTTTGGGAGAGCCTTGAGCTAATGATGCTCTCAGCTTTGTGTGTTTGTGTGATGCTGTGTACAGCCCGTGCTGTAAGACGAATTTGCATGTCTTCAACTTGTGGCTCCTCGTTACAATGGCAAACACTTTTTGATGAAGATCCGATTTTTCGGATGCATGAATTGGACTCCTGCTTTGGAGAAATAACCGTGTTCAGGAACATCTACTCCCGGACAATGAAATCGCACAAGATAGAAAGGCACGGTGAAAAGCCACCGCAGCCTTCCATGTCAAGCTACCTGGCCTCAAGCGGACGCAATGTTCATCCTAGAAGCCACATGTGTTGGTGCATCGACGTAGCCCGATACTCGGGAAGAGTCCATGCCCATAAACTTTTGGCTGCAATAACAACAGGAATGACAACAACTGTGCATCAGCAACATGGGTGCCTCTCCTGCTTTGCTCGAGCCTTCGAATTCTACAGTGCATCCTGTGGCCCTGACAAATACAAATGTGAACCTCCTTGGCGATGAGATCTGCCCTGAGCAGGAGCTCACCAAAGCGCTCAGGATCGAGCATACGATTTTCAAGTTCCTGCTTGACGGCACGCTTCACGTACACAGCCTGTATGTGTATGCCTGCAAGTGCGAGACCATGTTAGGACATCTTCTGTGCTCTGGACTCTCTGCTGCTCCACTGGCGGCTCAAGACTGTGGGTCCCCATGTGGCACAGATACAACATCAAGCACACAAGACGAAAGCCTCTTCCAGGAGCCACAGTCTAAGCAGTCTTGGGGTTGCATAGACATTGAGGAGGTACTACAATGTGCTATCCCAAAGCCTCATGGTTCCGTATGTGTTTTGCCATGTCTGCATGTCTTCGAGTCGAAGAGAAGAAGCTACGTCTTTGTAGAGTCGTAGTTGATGAGCCCGGTACTCGCTTCAATGCGGACATTCAGGCTTTGAACGAGCTGAATTGTACCTGATCAACCAACCAAGTAAATGAAGGTGCTGTATTAGGGGAAGGCTGAGAGCACCAAAGCTACGTAGCTGGAAAATCACCACTTGCTGAAACTCCGGGAGCATCGCGCAGCCTCAACCTTCAGGTGATCACTGAGACCCTGCACCAAACTACAGCCCCGGAATGATGAGCCTCGGAACCCAAAAGAAAAAATGCAACCAACAGTGTCCCCAGTACTCGCGTAGTGGCTGACACCATGATGGAAAACTCCTCTGTAGACGACCCAGGCACATCTTGCATTTCTTGAGGCTTCTCACAGGGTAAGCCGAATTTAGCAATTCCACGAACTGATCCTAAAACTTTGCAGGTACTTTCAAGGCCTTAGACAAATTCTTCAAACAAAATTGCATTCAAGCAGTTCATCACCCTCCAACTTGAGGTCCAGAATAACCAATGCACTTAATCCGCATATAATACATATAACCCTATACAAGCCCTTTAAAGGGAGTGTGTATATATATACATATATATATATATGCAGTAATAATTGCCCCCATTATCCCCCTATCCTTCTGTGCAACCCCACCACTTCTGAAGCCAAGTGCCAGGCGGCCCGAGCTCGAAGAGATCTCCTGAAAGGCACATGAGCTTAATTTGGGGTTTAGGGATTAGGGTTTAGGGATTAGGGTTTAGGGATTAGGGTTTAAGGTGTAGAGGAACAATTGAGAATGTATTAGCTACAGTCAATATTTCTCACCTACTTTAATGGACGTGGGTTCGTTATTCAGGACTACCTTAAGAACTGTACTGAACTACAAGAGGGATCCCAGATAAGGCTAATGTTGACGGTAGCTCACATAGATCCCGTCATTCCCCATTACAGTAGCAGTTGCCACACTGGGAAATAGGAGTCTTAATAGCCTCTTAGTAAGTCCTTTTTCACGACAGTGACCGTCCAAGATGTGGTTCCTTTTTGCCACAGCATTTAGGTTACCCAAAAAGGCTTGCGTCTTTGCACGAAACTGCTTCCACAGACAGCCAGCACGCTGCACAACCAAAACGTCCAGCCAACACACATCACGGTGCCCTCAACAGAAAGTTGAACAGCCTGTCCTTGCTGCAAAAGAAAATTGGGCGATCGCAAGCCTTACAGACTGGCAAATGAACTTCTTTGCATGAGAGGGCATTCGGATCATTAAGGCAGTGTCTGAAAGTTGGGAGAGGCGCGGCTGCAAAATCGGGTTCAAAATATGCAAGTAGAAAACAATGTCACTTGTGGGTAGTTGCATTGTTCTGCCAAAAAACTTCTCGGCTTCCGCATATTTGGAGGAAGGCTCCTGGTAACCCGGAAGAAAGAAATCTAATGGTGCACAGATTTTTCCTGGATTCTTCGGCCATGATCGGAATCTAACCCTACTGAAGCTTGTTGGGTACATGGGTGTGAGCCTTTGTGGGTCTATGGCACCTTCAGCCAAAGTTCTCTGGCCTTTCTGGGGCCCTGGCCTCATCGGCTGCAGGCCGGACACCCACTCTACGTCCCAACTCCCAAAAACCCACCACCGTCTCGAGCTTGCTACCAGCTCTGAAAATAATCATAATAGTCATACTAGTAATATACCAGCAATAGAAGTATTATAGTTTTTGTAATAATAGCCTACATCCTGAGATCTGAAAGCGAACCTTGACTTCAGCGCCGAATCAAGATCTCGGTTCCCCACGCATAGGAAACCCTCCAACTGTTGACGGGAGGGTCACGCCAAACCCCATGCGACACCTGAGGGACTGGTCCGATGGCCGGGGTCTAGGCCTGAGATCAAACCTTGCCTACGCTTCGCAGAGGCATGTGGGAGTTTCCCTAAATTAGGGGTACCTTTTTGGGGGTCCCCATAATAAGGATTATAGTATTTTGGGGTCTATATTGGGGTCCCCCTATTTAGGGAAACTACCATGTTGCAGGGAATGAACGAAATCCATCTACCGGGCTTGTAACCTAAAGCCTGAAAGCTGAAACGGTCCATTTCCATGCTGCAAGCGCGCTGGAATTTTGACAGACTGCATGGATCCATCCCCAGGTACGCGCTGCACAGTCGACCCAATGTAGTTCAACAATTCCTCCGGGACTGGCTACAGATGTGCGGGTGGATTCAGATTCTCTCAATCTCAAATCCTACTGCATGACGGCCTGGGATCTTCCAGGAGGTAGGAGCTGAACCCACCGGGAGCCTGGGCACTGAGGACAGGGCATTAGGTTCAAAGTTGCATTACACTGGCCAGTTAATTCATGGGTATTTCTGGTCGGAGGTGCTTGGAAAAAGCTTGACATTGGCATGACGGTTGTGTGGGCTTCCTGGCATCCAAGGTCGAAAAAATCTGCTCAAAGCTTGGGGTGGAACCCTGGAGGGCTTGCACAGGATGAAAAGGCATAGCCACCAGGAAGAATAATAGTAATAGCAATAATAGTAATAGTAATAATAATAGTAATAAGGAGTCGGCAGGTTAGATGCCAAGAGCAGCTTGTCTTCTAGAAGTCGGTTTGTCAGAGAGACTGGAACCAGTTCCAGTCAACAGCCCCAGCCTACTACTGCAGCTGACTCAGGACAGCAGCACCAAAAGCCCTTAACTGGCCAGAACCGAGTAAACCCCAGAAAGCACACAACAACCCTTCCTAGACATTGAAACACCCCGCTTTTCAGACACCTCAACGCGCAAAGATGAAATCTTGCCAGAAACCAACCCTACTTCTACTGCCCTCCAGAACGCAAAGCGACAACTGCGACTGCAAGACATCCTACGAAAACAGCAGCACCCAACATCCATGTGGCCCTCAATAATCACCCATCTATTCACCTTCATCTTCTCTGAGGCCAGCGGCGCAGCCCAAGTCGAGAAACTTGAAGCCTTTCTCTGGCACCAAGTCCCTGGCCCAGCCGAATGTTGTTGGCTTGCTTGACGGATCGAGATTGATCAAAGGCTGAAACTGAAACAACACTACGCAATACTACGCATGACACCTTGGGGACGGCGGTGATACTGGCCACCCGTGGAAAAGGTCTGCGCCTCAGGTAGTTGTGAGCTTCGGACAGCTCGCCCATCACGCCATAGCACTTCTGGAAGTGCACCTGGCACCATGCCCTGCCCAATGGGGCTGCGGTTAAGGAACTGAAGGTAGGTTGCCACATAATGAGTATATATAGTAAGGAACTGAAATCAAGTTCCCATAATGGGTATATGTAGTAAGGAACTCAAAGTAGGTTACCATAACGGGTATTATTATATATAGAATAACTAATAAGGTTCCCCAGTAGAGTAACTTAAATCAAGTTCCTCAAAAGCAGCCCACCCAAGCTACTGCTGCTGGAAACTGAAGTGTATGTGATGGATGTTGTGGAAACGTTATGGCCAAATATGAACAGATGTATTGAAATCCAAACAGAGGCACCTGCGGGGATAGGGGTTGACGTTCACGTCTTTTTTGAAAACGACCTGCCTATCTTCCTCTGGGGGACTACTGGACTTTGAGAGCGAGATTGATTCACTTGGCCTGGATTGGTATCGTTTTGTTTACATTACGTACGTATCCCTATGCCCAGCACCGACCTCATCAATTGCTTGCGGACTCTCAGCCTTGTGTAGACAAGACTTCAGGCTGAACTGTGAAATCTTCTGACGGTAGCATCATCATGATTATCATCATCCTGTGTCACTCTAAACCTTACACCCTAACAGTAGTACCTCAGAACTGCTCCCAAGACACCCAATGCCTGAACCTCACCTCAAAACAGGAAGAATGACCGCTCACACACCTGAAATCGTGCTTCTCCCTCAGAACCCCCAAGCATCTTGCAGTTCTAACCCGCCACAACATCCGGAGATCTCAAAGTCTACAACCTCCTAGAAAGCATCATCTCCGGCTTTATTTGGGAGCGCTTGCGAAAACAACTCCTCGCAGCAAGAAGCCTCGGTTTCATAGTGGGCATTCCGCTGCTTGTACTCCTGATCCATGGCGAGCTGGGCCTGACTGAGGAAGCGGATGGTGCTTTGAACAATACTTACTGTTGATGAATAGGTGCCCATACTATAGAACAACAAGGGAAATTGATAATAATCTCAAAGTGCCGCGTAGTTAAGGTTTAGGGCTTAGGGAAAGATGCTGTCCCGGCTGGCATCATTATTTCGTGTTGCTATTGCCAGTATGGCCATTAGTCCCCGTGCCCAAAGGAAGCATCGGGAAGTCACAATCATCAATATGCTGCTCTGAAAAGGCAGCGAAAGAGACAGTACTTCACATGGAGTGTCTGCAGATGAATTTCATAGGATCCCGGGTTACGTGAAGGCCCTCTGCTGTATTTCTGTGAAATCATCTGCGGGGCTCCTGTCTGCTTGCGGCTCCTACCTACAAATATGCATAAGGTTGGAATCGCAGTCCCAAGCACACTTCCTAAGTCTAGCAGCTGCTCGACTCGCACACACCAAGTAGCATCTAAGACCTAAGCAAGCGCAGGAATGACAACATGAGCAAAAGGGAGCTCCGCGCTTACTACCCACAGCGGCATGGTCTCAGCTTCAAACATCAGGCTTCTACAGCAACCTCAACCAGCGTGAAAACCTGCTATCCAAAACGCAGGCCTGAAAAAGTGGCTGGCTCTCAAGGGTGACTATTCCAGTTCTAACAGAAAAATCAGATTTTAGCAGAACTGCGATTCACACACTGCAAGGACTCCTCAATCAATCGACCAAAGACCAAAGAGCTTTCATCACGGCGGACAATAGGCGCGTTACACTGGTGCGATATACGGAACAACAGTGCTGCTGAACTACCTAACTGTTACGGTAGCATTTACGAACAAAAAAGAACGAAAGCGTGTCACTTTCGTCTTCCTGGCGACTTCCACAAGAATGTTGCCAAGTTGTTTTCGCCCGTTGTTTTTCCAAGCCCGCATAAGTGGCCAGCTACGGATTTCCAAGCACCAGCTCAGTAGCTTGATTTGGGATGGCCCCTGAAACAGTGTCTCAAAACTGAGAGCAAAACGCAGCATGTCCTAGCTCTCAGAAACTAATAGTTGTGGATACGAAAAATCCTGCATGACCCTAGGTACTGTATACCTTGGGAATTATGGTACTATAGTATATTCCGGTCATGCAGGATTTTTAGTATCAACAGTAGTTGTGGTAGACTTCGGAAGTGGTTACGCTGCAAGGAGAACCCTCCATTGGTCAAGCTCAGCATCGGGCCGCATACTCATCATAGAGTGGCTGCTCCATGTTGGCGTACAAGACCCAGGGCTTTGGGCTTTGGGCTCCAGGTTAAGGGTTTAGGCTGGAAACAAAGCATTCCGTTTCAAGCAACACCCAAGGCCTGGGCATTCCTAGTTTAAAATTCTGAGAGAAGGTGGGGGGGAGGGGTTACCCAAGATGCCCCAACGGGGTGTCAAAGAGTCTTCATTCTTCATGCATGTCTGGCAGAGAGACCATGCTGGTCATGAAAACCCAAACCTTCTTCGTGCTTCAAGAATCGAGTTTCCTCTAGGGGGCTACTCCGTTTAAGGCCTAGTTTCACACAGGACTTAACCTTTCTTCAACCGCTCTTGATTACTTCTTGTACTCAGAGAGTTGGATCAGTTGTTTGGCCCCAGCATGCGCGTGATGACTTTGATGGACTTGTCAACTCCTTCTGCGGCAGGTATGTAGCAGCATCCATCAGCTACGAGGATCAAGCAAATGCATGTACGTAAACATGCCAATGGGAATTGGGAGGCACAACGTGCTACGGCAACATCTCAACGCAGAATCATCCTAAACATTCTTACCACCATTGGCTGCTCAATACAAGCAACAGCAAGAGAAAGGATGATCTTCAGAAGCCCATACTGCGGCATGGAAAACCGTCTCTTGTGGCTTCAGATCCGTATAGCTTCCTGATAGCAAGACTTCACGGCTCGCATAGTTGATTCAGGGGTGCTGCCGCTAAAGCGCAATTTCATCGTGTTGTTGTCCTGGTCCATGAAAAATTGTTGTCGATGTCGATATCATATTTGTTTCTAATATGACACCCCGCCCCCGGAATCTTCTTAAGCATTGGGCAAACACTGAACAAAGCTCCAGTCAGAACGTAGGCGTCTGAACACCATGTCTTTGTGTACAAGCTCCCGAAATGAACAATTCGGACCTGAACAGTGGTCAATCAACTCCTGAAACCACCCTACCACAGAGTCTCAGAGCTTCCAGTAAGTAAATCCTCAGAAGCCCCGCCCAAAAGGGTCTGTGCTAGACCGATGAATCATTGCCCGTGTAAGAATCTGCACTGCCAAGGCCCGCTTCAACATGTGAAATTTGTGAGGTCTCACCAACGCATATGCAAGCTTCTAGAGCCCTAACAGATGATCCCATAGCAAATTTCCCAAAATGAAAAACACAGAGACTCCACTTCCAGCTGTGACCAAGGAAATCACAGCCTTATTTAAGGTCTACACCAATGGCAAACTGCACACTACCAGAGTGTCGGTGCAGCGCTTTTGGGCGCCACATCATATGCATGAAGTGGGCCAACCAACTGCATTGTACAGAAACATCCTGAAGTCCCGAAACACAATCTGCACCTCACAGCATGGACCTTGGCCTGCTGAAAGCACAAGCCCCAAACACCAGCACCCTGCTGGAGAATCACCTTGCCCTCATTTGTCTCGCGGGTGCCGGCAGGCTGTGTCCGTAGACATAACGCGTCCCAGGGCTTTAGTTTAGGCTTGGAGCTTGCTTGATGTACGTGCCTCCAACCCGGGGTTCAGGGTTTTGGGTTGCCGGATTCTGGAAATTGAGCTGGGGTATGTAGGGCTCAGCCAAGCTTATAGCTGGCTGCAACAGGAGGGGCTGGCTACACTGCCTTAACCTGAAGTTGTGTCCATAAAGCCGGCTATGTAGCTTTGGCATGGCCTTAGCATCTATGCATCTATGCGATTCCCAGGACTCCTCACAGCACCCCAGGAAGCTCAAATGTTTACCAGGTCGTAAGCCTGCTGGAGGATGTATTATATAGTATATTCCCCTATATTACCTCCCCCGCCAATTATGGAGAATCAAATGGAAAAGAAAATGGAAAATAAAATGGAAACTGGGATAATACAGGGCTTAAGGGACTTAAATTAAGTTACCATATTATCCTGTGTAATGGAAAATCAAATGGAAAAGAAAATGGAAAATGAAATGGACACTGGGATTCTTTGAGGCGCTCCTTTGGCTTCGCCTAAAGATCTTCTTTCTTGGGATTGAGATTCAGGACTCTGCGTCCAGAGCTTCTGGAAGTGCATTGACGAGGAGCCCGTCACTGGGAATCGCAGGGATCTACAGCGCTTAGCTCCCAGGATCATCCCCTTCACCTCTCCTTCTTCTGCGGCGATGCTTCCGCCTCAGTTGGGACATCCCAATGTGTCGGGCAACTTCTGGAAAAGACATCTTGCTATGTTCTTTCGAAACATAGCCCGTTAACGGCAGCAGTCCCGATTAAGGCCAGAAGCCAGCATCACAAGACCCCGTCCTTCCCCGCTCTCTATCCGTGGTACATGTGAGATCGACTGCACCCAAATACAAGGAATTGGTACCTATAACAGGCTTCGGTCCAACAACATCAGGGAATGAGGAGGGCTTCGACTCACAGAGAGTAGTAGAATGGAGCACTGCACAAGCTGCTGCATGTGCTTGACTACAATTTTCGACAAGGGTGCCCAAATGTTCTTTTGACTCCATAAACACTGCTCACGCCCGCCTCTTTCCTCACCACCTGCTCTGAAGCCCCAAATCCGGAAGCCCTTTCATCTTGCCACTTGCTTGTTAGCGTTGCCTCAAGACATGATGCCCTATTGCGCTGAGTGCCGTTGGACCTGCGGATTCCCGCGCCATTATCACAAGGCAAGTCATTGCTGTTGCTGTTGCTTGCGATCGCTTCTGCCTTTTTCACATGCGCACACACACAACGTCCTCATGAGAACCATCCAGATACTGCTAGCACTTTTGTCGCTGCCGTGACTGCCACCACCACAGCCGCTGTTGTTGTGGCCATGGCCATGACATCGATCATGATCAGCACCACTACAGGTGTTCTTGCTTTGACTATCCGTGACTTCTGCATTGTAGCTGCCATTCTTCTGAAGCAACCCCCAAATCCCAAGCCCCAAAAGCTAGTATACCATATTAGTTTCCATTTTATGTTCCATTATCCCCATATAACCCCACTATACTTACAATGGCAAACCCCCCTCAGCTCGCTACTCACCATCCTCACGGCTTTTGGACCTGTCCGGGTCCTGGGCCAAGCATCAAGGGGCATTAGGTCACAAGCCTCAAGGGCTTTGAGGATGAGTGAGGACAGAAACCCGTGCTCCCAAAACAAGGCCTTTAAGCTGACATTCCCTCTATAAACCGGCACCAAGGTCCCAACCTTGCCCCCTAAACTGCCGGCGAGCCTTGTGTCGCCGTCTGTGTCGCTTTCTCTCTGGCTCGGCTCCTTCCCACAAAGAGTTGCATCGGGTGGAAACACGCTTGTTTGCTTCTGCTGCAAACCCAAAGCAGAAGCAATGGCGTACGCATACCACAAACCTTCGCAACATCATGGTTGTTCTGCAGCACGCTGCCTCTCTTGAGTTCAAATCGCGTTGTGAGAGCTGCCAAAGTTCATCCCTATTCCAGTGCAGTAGCTAGAGCTCTCTTGCAAGTCTCAAGTCGCAAGGGGCGACATGCATCAGGTCAAGGTTTTTGCGCACCATAGCAGCTAGCAGACCCGCCGAAGACCACAAGCGGCAGTCCGTCTGACGTAGCAGTCGGTGCCTGGCAATTTTAGCTTCAAGGCTGAAGCTTGAAGCACAGAAGGGGTTTAGGGGATATAATGGAAAAGAAAATGGAACTAACTTTATTGTTTAGGGTTTACGGTTTAGGGATTAGGGTTGGGGCTCAGGGGGACTTGGCAAGTTGGTTAAAAATGGGGATAAATGGGCTTACTATATGAGTCATAGGGG